TAAAAAACCTTTTGAATAGCAAAATTCGGCCACCACAAATAGATAATAGAAACTAGTAATTTTAAAAATACGGAAGGAAGGTACTTATGCAGGAACGCAGTCTCTTGGTGGAATCAAAGAGATAATAATATGCAGTTTAGATATAAAGAGTTGTTAATCGTTAGAAATCATAAACTGATAGCCATATAACGAATTTTGCTTGCCTGAATAACATGTAGAGATATGTTGTTGGCTATCGCACTTTACAGCTATCACTGACAATTTCTACTCTCTTACACCGCCCCCCCCCCCATATTTGCTAAAAGCTACTGAAACAGTTCACTACTTCCCTACTTCTTCTCTTCTCTTCTATCCCGTGGTTGGGGCACCCGTGGGGGCACCACTGCATCTGAAAACCAGCTCTCGCCATCTATTTCCCTATACTGGGTTAAATCTACCAGTATACGAAATTCCAATAATTATCACTGCAAAGGTCACCTGGGCTGTCATGGTTATAATCTTTTAGGATTTTATTTTCTAATATTCTTTCTTCACTTTGCCCAAGCACGTCTTTCCTCACCATTATCTTATTTTAACAGCATACGCACTGCCTTGAGGGCACCTCAAACGAGTAAATTAGCTCCTTTTAAGGTGCTTAAAATTCATTTACTGACTGAAGATTACACTGCGCTAGCGGTATAATATAACAAAATTTCATCGAAAGTAGTTAATGAAAGCAATTTCATGACATGTAATCAATGTCTATTTATCAGTGACGTAAGCATGCAACATTTTTTTGGTTTTTGTTGTGTTTTTTGTATTGTTTGTTTTCGTTTTCGTTTTCAAAATTTGTGTGTGTGTGTGAATCCGGAAATGTCTAAAAAAGTTATAGCCAGAGAGGGCGTAACTTTCTGTATGTTATGCTCCACATCGTTTAAGTGAAGAAAGTGGTTTTGTTTTATATTCTTCTGAAACCGCCTGTCAAGTGTCATTCTTATTTAGGGACGTTCTTAAAGAGCAAGTCAGCTAAATGGCGAAATAAATTCACGAAAATAAAATTACTCCGCTGTTGGGCCATGCTGGAGCCTGATTGTTGAAATAAACTAGTGTCATGGGGCATAAACTTCCGTCCTCATCGGCCAACTTGCAACATCGTTTTGATTTGAGCGCTGTCTACCACGTGCTGTCTGGGTTCACTCAAACCACTGACAGGTGAAATGAAACAAGGGTTAAAGATAAAATGAAATATCTAATATTGCTCTAATTCAAACAAAAATTCCATTAAATACAGGATATTAAGATGTATACAGACATAAATACATTATCTCTTGTATATATACATAATAATATACAGCCCTCTGTTTGATTCTGACAATGATCTCCGTTTCATCATTACCCCATCTCAACACTCGATCTCTCTCTTAATCCAACAAAGCCCTGATCTCCCTCCTCCTCTCCCCCCACCCTCCACACTAACACCTTACCGCATCTCATTCCTCCCACTGACGCCACTACTACAACGAAACTGCTTCCACAAGTAAGACATCCCCACCGCCTTAAAACTCACCCCAGTCTACGAGCTCCGTACACCGACTGTAGAGCGTTATTATTTCCGAGCAGCCATGCGTACGCAGAGATAGTCGGAACTCACTGTCATAACTCACCGATTCTCTCCCCCCCCCCCCCTTCCTCCCCCACCCATACACACACCCTATTTCAACCCCGGCCTTCAGCACACCAGTAAGGTACCATGCAACTAAAAAGAAAAATCAAATAAAGACTCGCATTTATTATCAAGCCAAATCGTATCAATTTTTACTTTACACTTGTAATCTTATTGATCAAGTAAGTGAATGTTTTTCCTGAGGCAACTTTCTAGCGACATTCTTGTTTGCGGCTTGCGCTCAGGTGCTATCAAACATATTTTTGTTAATTAAATCTGTTCTTGTTAATGAAATCAATCGTATTCTCGTTCTTTTTTCATCGATCACTTCACACTTGAATACCACTATATTTAATATACTAAGCCGCCCTGCTTACCAAGTGTAATTACGCAAAACTATTTTTAGAAAAAAACCCAAAAAAACCCAACTACCCTATGTCAATCTAAGGTCCTACCTGCACGTCAACATACTCGTATAATGACGGGATGTGTAAAATTTCCAGGGCCCAGCACGCGAGTAGAACAGACACAATGCACATTTAGTTGCACATAGCCGTTAGTTACATCGTACTTTATCTTTGGGATCAATTTTTCTGATTTCGTATGTGCGATATGGAGCCTCTGGCACGTCTCCTCTAGTTGCCGTCTTAATCTTCGAGGATTGCTTCAGTAGTTTCGTTTTTGTTCCAATAGAAACTTTCTCGTGCTTTCTTTGCATCTTCCAGAAAGAAAACTAGCTTTCAGGACACCCATTTCTCACGTTAATGTTCCTTTCCAGCTATCACATCTCATTAGAACTACGCCCATACCCTAACAGTGTCGGTCCTGAAGGGCAAATGAGAAAACAATCAAACCAGGCCTTTATCCAAGTTAACCACTCATCGTATGGCTTGCAATGTTCCAGTATTGGTAAGGGTCGGAACTCATAGAGATGCCTTTGTCTTTCATATGACTGTGTGTGAATGTATTTGATTTATGGACTTTTTGACAAGATAGAGAAATGATGACAAAAGCAAAGACAATATAACACAATAATATCACATATCTACTGGCATGCCACTGGAACGTTACAAACAACACTTTGAATAACAAGCAAGTTATGCAATAACTTCACCAGGAAATCACATTCTTGGCTAAAGTGATAGAACGACACTTTAACAAAGACAACTGTGAGGCCGCGTGGTGGAATCAGGCTCTCGTCAATATAATCAAAGTGAAGAAACTTGCATTTTTCTGCAGGTTTGTGAATTTGTATCAATTTTTTTTTTGGCTCAACACCATTCATTCCCATTAAAGAACTAATTTCTGACTGAATTTTCTGAAAAACGTTGATTAAAAGCACAAAACATATAAATTTTCAGTCACAGCGGACTCTTAAGCTAAGAAAATAACTAATCTTTGGCAGCCATTTTCTCACTAATTTCACCTCTGAACAGGTGACCCCACCTCCTTCATTCGCAAATATCTCGACTTGTATTCAAGATAAATGGATATTTTTTCAAGATAAATCGATATTTTTTTCATCCAAATAAAGACAAGTGAACAAGCTTTAAGATGATGCAAATAACTCTATATTATCACAAAACATTGACGAGAGCCTGATTCCACCACGCTGCCTCACAACTGGTAACTGCCCCTGGAGCCAGTCCGCCCTCTTCACCGTTCACCACATAGCCCACGTTCTTTCTAGTTGCTTTTTAAAAACCACACCCATCCGTTGTTCGTTGTCTTCTTAATGCTCCACCGTCACTTCCAAGCATAAACAGACAGCTATTTCTGAGCCCCCGAAGACTTGGAACTATCTATGAATGACGATACGAGCGATAATCGTGTCGTCGAGGCCTGAAGCAATCCTCTCGTCTCTGACATTGTCATTGAATCGTTTCCGACATCCATTATATCCGTCTTTCAACAGAAGAGCTAGACTCGTATACATTTGGTGTTGCATGGTTCTCAGAGACAACTTGTGGCTTTTAGAATGTTATTTGAAATTATTGTTATTATTCAAATAAGCGTACATTTGTTTGTTTCCGCCTGTCGGTCTGGCTGATAAATTTTTGCCTATTCATTGTCTACTAATCTTAAGGTTTATTATGTCTTTTGTATTCAAACGGGCGCAGATTCGTTGTGCAGATGAGAGAGAGAGGGAGAGAGAGAGAGAGAGAGAGAGAGAGAGAGAGAGAGAGAGAGAGAGAGAAAGAGAGAGAGAGAGAGAGAGAGAGAGAGAGAGAGAGAGGAGGAGGAGGAATGGATGAGTGGATGAATGTTTGACTAATAGGATAATGAAGACAAGGCACATATTAGAGAAAAATGAAGAAATATGTCAAACTTTCAGAAAATCAATGAAAACGCAAAGTTAACACATGTTCTGTAAGGAAAATATTGTCCTGATATATTCAATTTAGCTTTAGTAAATGTTACACGGCAGTTGTAACACAATAAGGTCATATTAGTGCGGAGGATTAGAGATGTTACAAGAAAGTAACAAACATAAAACAGAACCGATATAACATGTATCATTGGCAAAAAAGACGAAAATCACACCAGGGCACCCACCTACCACCCTTGAATATAGTCAGGCCATAATAAAATAGCGAACTCTATGCCTTATCTGGTACGGGCGCATGCTACTTGGGATTTTGCTTCCTAGGAATGTCAAAGGTTAGAGGTTAACAACCTCTTGTCTCCCAAAACCAGACTGAGTTCCCCCACATAATTTATATCCGCAAGCAAAAATAACCCGCACGAAAATGATATTATTTAAAAAGAAAAAAAAAAAGCACCCAGCCGTACCAGTGGTTTCTGTTATAATTATGAGAAGAAGAAGATACTGTTCTGATTCCTGCCATTCTGGTAGCGTTATCCTAGACATGTTTAACGTCTTTCCTTCTCCATTCCCATAAAACAAATAACACCTGCATATTCTTTACTCTGAATATTTAGTGGCCTCTTCATTGCTTACAAATTATTTTTGGTTTACTTGTTGCTTTTGTTGTTGCTGTCGTCGACATCGTCCTTATTTTTGTTGTTGCTGTTTGACGTTACTATATTGATGTTGTGTTGTTATTGGTGTTGGTGTTTTTGCTATTGCTGGTGCTATTGTTATTGTCCTTTGTTGAAGTAAAAACTATCAACATTCTTGTGCTTTTACCACCATCTGGAAATGGAACCGAAATTATTACTAGAATAACACAATTCCGGTAAAGATCCCGGTGACATTAAACTAGCATTATTATTACCCTGTTTGAGAGGGAAAATGGTAATGATGAAACCACTGAAATGATAACCTTTGTCGGTGGCTGCTTTCACAATACAAGTTTGATGTATGTTTTATTCTCTTCAATTTTATCTCCTTCAGGTATCTTGGAGTTGCCAGTTCGTATCAGTTTCTTGCATACGAAGTGCGTCAGTCCGATAAAATACTCGACGACGCATGCGCAAGTTTGCAGTTCCTGCAGCCTCAACAGCGGGAGATTTGCAATCATGACGTAAAACTGCTTGAGGTCATCAGCAGTGGAGCCGCCATGGGCATCGAGGAGTGCCAGCATCAGTTCAGGGACAGGCGGTGGAACTGCACCACCTACAACAACACGAGCGTCTTCGGGCCTGTCCTCCACATCAGTAAGTTATATAGGACTCATAATGTGAGAGTAGACAGTGTACTCTGAAGAGAGAAAGAAAGAACGGAAAGAGAGAGAGAGAGAGAGAGAGAGAGAGAGAGAGAGAGAGAGAGAGAGAGACAGACAGAGAGACAGAGAGACAGAAAGTGAGAGAAGGAGGGAGATAGAGCGCGCCAGAGAGAAGATAGATAGATAGACAGGCAGATAAATAGATAGATAGACAGTTATAAATTCATTTATATAGCGTATTTCCACAAAGAAGTACTCAATGCGCTGTACATTAATACAAAGAACATATGCAGCGCACAGCTTCTATAGTAAACCTATTTCTCTTTCTCTCACCCTCACTCTCTCTCTGTCTCTGTCTCTGTCTGTCTGTCTGTCTGTCTGTCTGTCTGTCTGTCTGTCTGTCTGTCTGTCTGTCTGTCTGTCTGTCTGTCTGTCTTTCTCTCTCTCTCTGTCTGTCTGTCTCTCTCTCTCTCTCTCTCTCTCTCTCTCTCTCTCTCTCTCTCTCTCTCTCTCTCTCCAGTACATCCTTGAGTAAAGACAATCCCACAAACCTACCCATACATCCTCGCACACATTGATAAATTCTTACTCAACAGAACAGCATGAATAAACGATAACGAGAGAACATAATAGATACTGAGAGAACCTAATAATATTTGTATTGGGAATGTCGGAAATTACAGGTTGAAGCTGGACTGAAACAAATGCGTTTTAAGTTCTGATTTAAATTTTGATAAAGTTGTAAACTCCCGTAGATGAGCTGAGAAAGCGTTCCACACTGAGGGGGCGTGGTGTGAAAAAGCTCTCCCTCCGAGTCTCTGACTTTTGCTTTGGACAGGGCATAAACATTTTTTTCATCGCCGATCTTAAAGGCCGAGATGGTACATATTCGATGACCATGTCACAAAGAACAATTATTTTGGGCTGAATTTGTGCTTTCACTGTGAGCCAATGTAGTTGAATTAGAATTGGTGATATAATATGCTCTTTGCGAGATTTCTTTAAAATTATGCGGGCAGCTTGGTTCTGGAGTCGCTGTAACCTATTTAACGTTTCAGTGGGAAGGTTTCCAAACAAAGAATTGTAGTAGTCTAGACGTGAGAGGACAAAAGAAGAGATGAGTGTTTGATGGAATCAACACTAAGATATGTTGACATTTTTCCTATTCTGCGTAGTTCTAAATAAAATACATAGATGGTTTGTATGATAGGGCATTAGAGAGTTTGCAGTCAAGATAAACGCCTAGATTTTTCGTTTTATCTGTGAAAAACATGTTATCATTCCCAATACATATATTATGGTCAAAATGTCAAAGCAATATCCCTGGTTTGGCATTGCAAAACAAAACTCCCGTCTTATTATAATTCATTTTAAGTCTGTTTGATATTATCCAGTTTTTTACCTCCACAATACATTTTCCCTTGCTGGTAACTAGACAATTGAAATTTGTTGGTAAAACAGAATTGTGCAACTGAGTTTCGTCCGCGTACATGTGGTAGTTAACGCCGTGCTTCCTAATTATTGAACCTAAGGGCTTTGTATATAGTGTATATAAGAGTGGTCCGAGCATGGACCCTTGAGGCACGCCAAATTGCAAGCTGAAAAGAATTTAGATAGATAGATAGATAGATAGATAGATAGATAGATAGATAGATAGATAGATAGATAAAGTTTGATCTACAGTTTTTATTAAATCCGTGTTTCAAGTTTCTACGTGGAGACGGAAATTGCGCACAAAGTAAATTAAGTTCCGATTTTCTGGAATTAGATTATCTAGTAACTAAATTTTCAGTGTATCGAAGAGGTAAATCTGTGGAGTAGCAATTTTAAACGCAGGTCTTTTAAAAATGATTTTGAGGTGCAAAACCCAACTGAGGTTACATCATTGCTACATCACTTTATTAAAGCAGACAGAAAAAAAACACATGTTGAAGTGCAGTTTCAGAGGCAACTTGTGTCAACAGTTTATATTTCTCTCTTTTATTAATGTTTTCTTTTTTTTTGGAAAAAAATATGCAGGTGAAGGTAATTTGAGGCCGAGGATGGGGAGGGAGGGGTGTGCTGGGAGGTGAGGGTTGCTGGCGTAATGGAAACATGCATGAAATAGCACGCGAATTCGTAAGTCAAACATCAACAGCTGGGGGACAAGTCAAGCTCAATGTTCTACTTTCTTTACCCAATAATTCAGTTTCCTTATAATATGTGCTAGCTCCACTTTCATTGATTGCAATATAAGAGTCTGTATTCCATTCAAATGTATTTACCAGAATAAAATATACAGGTATTGGTTAAAGACACATTGCTCAAATGTAAAGGGAAAACACCTGTATTTGAACTGCTTTGAGTGGGGTTATGCTCGCGGGAGGGGTGTCTTACAAATACATGTATATTTGTTCTCAGAATATGAGGTGAAATCTCATTGGCACTGGGTTTTATAATACATTTTTAATAAATCGTGTGCTACTTTTCACAGACTAGCTAAATTACGCCCTGGCCGCAAAAAATAGGGACATTCTCAAGAGAATAAATGAACTGTTGGAGATAATAACAGACGCCTTTATTACTTTTCATGGTACTTGTTCTCGCAAGAAATCTCGTTTGGTCAATGAACGAAACACTCCAGAACCGTTAATATTACTATCTACCTTAGTAAAAAAAAAGTATTGAAAAATGTGTGTTTAATAACCATCCTTATTGAGCCCATGTATTAAATGTCATTCTAATTGGACAGAAATGGCGGGAGTAGAAAATCAAAGAGTAGGATAAGTTTTCAAGTAAAGAATAGTTAGTTAAAAATGATATACAGATTAGGCCCTTAGACTAACTGAAAGAAGAAAACGTTCTTGTAGGATTGAAATAGGAAAAAAATATTGGAGACTTTTTTTTCGCTGCTTGCGTTGTTTTTTGTTTAAATTTGATTTATTTTTTGTTTTTAGTTTTAAAGAATACGTTTAAAAGAACCAAAGAGGCCACCGCAAGCTATTACTTTACAAATATCCTGTGTTATTACATGTTTTTTCGTTTCCACTTTCTCACCCAGTGTGCTTGGTAAAGTTTCAACACATCACTTTTTGTACGAGAGGGCGCCATTACTTGAGAGTAGCAGATCAAACAAATTCTTAAAGACGCATTCACAGACAGAGTATGGCAGGGATATGAAGCAGAAAAGACGTTTATGCTCAGTCCCCAGTCAGCTATGCCCTCCAAACGATGTTCCTTCTTTTCTGAGACAATTACAGAGTGCAAATTTAGTTCCCATTCACAAGCAAGAGATCAAAGCTTTCTGTGAGGACAGTCATAAATGAGAAGGGTTGTCGAACTTTCTCTCCGAGCAACGGCAAAACAGTACCTGCCCCCATTACGAGTGAGTTGAGGGTGTGTAAACCTCATTCCCTCCCGCTGTGCAGCTCATTCAGAAAAGCGCAGAGAGGATATCTTTGAAGAAGTCCGTAATAGCCAACGTGTGCGGCCAACGGAATTCGTTTTTGAGGACACAGCGAATAGGGCAAGTCAAACGCGGCCATGGTCGAATCCGTCTCGTCCCCAAACCTGAAGAGCGACTAAAATGTAGTGAGTGTTTGCACAGCAACCGAATCAGAAAAACGATCCGGACACCGAAGGTGGAAGTATGGGCTTGTCTTCCTTTGACTGTCCCATGTGAATTAAGAACGAATGGACGCCCTTTTCGAAAGAAGGGCACAATGTAGGATGGGGATTCGAGTGTTGCGGGGAGTGCAGAAAGTGGTTTGCAATATGAAAATAGGAGGTAAAAACGTTTCCAAGATCCGGAAGTATGTTTAGGCCCTGTCGATTCGATAATTCTGAATGTATTAAAACCTGGGTGAGTGAAGGATGGGTGGGGCGGGGTCGTCGGGGCATCGTGAGATTGGTGGCTTTTGTTTACACAGGTTATTAGCGGAAACACGGAAGCTTGACAAGATTGCCCGATCAAAGGAAAGCCCGCGGGAGAGATCCGGTGACCCCCCAAAGGCCATCGCGGCCGGGCAGCGAGATGTTTGGGCCGCTCGTGAGCGTGCAGCTGTCGAGGGTTAAGGCGCCCGGCCGAAATCTACGAGTCCCTCAGCGTCATTGCAAAGGCCGCATCCTTGTGCCAGGCAGATGGGCCTGGTCTTGTCTTTGCTCTCCCGTGTTTACACCAGCTTCAAGATGTCTACTTCCCTCAACATGACTTCCTCTTTTTCCTCGTCTTTGCCCGTCGCCCGCTTCGTCTCTAGCGATTTCCCCTGAACACGACGATGTACTCTCTCTCTGTCTCTGCCTCTGTCTATGGCTCTCTCTCTCTCTCTCTCTCTCTCTTTCCCTTTCTCCCCCCCCCTCTCTCTCTCACTCTCTCTCTGGAGAGATATATATATAATATATCGCTTCCCATTCTTTTCAAGCGTGAGAAAAAAGGACAAGTCACTGCCTCCTGCGATCTGAAATATTCTTCAAAACTTCTTCCTCGAGAAACGGGACAATACGAGGTGTAAAACTGAGTTCCAGTTTGAAAGCAGCCAAGGGTTAGAGGGCTAGCCTCCTAACAGCTCTCCGGGGACGATGCGGGCAGAGCAAACACGAATTTGCTTTCTTTCGCCGGGCTTCTCTTGGAAGTTTGGGGATACACAAACTCCTCAGGCGCGGCGCTTGTGCTTTGAGCTGGCTTATCGGATTCAGACGCACGCCTGCCCATTGTTCGGACTCCGGGGCGCCCGCCGTGTCTTCTCATGAGTTCTACTCCATCTTTGAGGCTCAACCTCCGCGGCATTCGCTAAACCTCTAATAATTACCGCTTCGTAAAGAGGAAGAAGAGCGAAAATGTTCGAGATGAGCGGGTTTTAATTTTTTCAAAATTGACACAATTTCATTTCTTCTTGCGCTGTTGCTGTACTGTCGTGACAACTTCATTTCACCACTTTCACCCCTTTCATTGGCAAATCTAAACATTTTTGGGGAATAGATGTTATATATATATATATATATATATATATATAT